CCATTTCAAAACTATATAGGGCATAAGTATTTTTTTTATTTGCCAATTCTGAAACTATTGCAGTCTAAACCATAATCTTGCCAATAACCGAGGTCCAAGGAGAGCTTTTAGGCACTACTTACAACACTTCTAACTTAACCCCATTTATACTAATTTCCTTTGGTATAGCCATGACCTAATCAACTTCAGTCAGCATTCCCAATGATCCGAGCCCCTATCAATTTTGCGCCACTATCAAAATCTCTGCTGAAGTCAAGGTACACAAAATCACAAACCTTATCACTATTTCCTCAACTATGCAACCTAATCCATGAACATTTAGTAATAAAATTATGCGATTCATGTATCTAGTCACGTTCCTCAAAAAGAGTAGCGAAATGGCACTTGCAATGTTAGATTCTAGTAACTTTCCTCACAATAGATTAAGCTAATTGGTCACTAACCTAAGCGTTAAAGTCAACTCAAACTTTTCCTTTAAAACTTGCTATATTAGGAACTTTCCACGACCGGCCTTTACCCGACATAATTAAATAGGGTAAAAACGGTATATTAAATGCAGTAAAACTATGGTAAATTCAATATGATAAACTTGCATTCTTTAAGCATGGGCTGCATAGTAAGTGAACTAAACTAAATGTTAAGCACCCTGGCAAACCACTTCGTTCTATTCAATTTATTTATTTATTTAATCACTTTGTCCGGCTAGAATTTTTAGATTAAAGGAATACCCTCCCTGGTAACGGCTGAACTAGTTAACCAAATACAAATATTTAGGTAAAATACTTTCATAAAACCCGTCTACTTCCCCCACCAGTAGACTTGTTCAGCTAAAGGCATAATGTAATGTTCCACTTTAGTAAATAAAGACTTAAAAAAAACACTACCCCATCTGTGTAGTTACCGGTTACCTGACATTCTACGCTTAAAATAACCCATCTATTCCCCATAATTGTTCGATATAACTTACCTCTCACCCGCTGGTCGAGTACACAGCAGTATATATCCTCCTCCATCACTCACCGCGTGGATACTATTTCACTCTGGCCGCAAATTGCCTCAAATCACCTACGTTGTCCATAAACATATATAGAAGAGCAACTGACCCTAACACCCCGTATAGCGATCATCACATAACGTGGGAACATTAGTAGTACTGCTGTCAAAACATAGATGGCGCCAGGACAAACGGTAATTCCTATGGACTCGCCTATTTATGCGTAGGGAATTGAGCTTCAGCTGTTTGGTCCCGCCTCTCAGCTGTATTCACCTAGTTGTACTCACCTAATTTGTGCTTGCAGGGGTTGAGCTTTGGTTCTTTGGTCCCGACTCTCAACCGTCTGGACCGTTGACTTCCTATGAGGCCACATATTTACTTATTTCATAATGGAAGTATATTATTTTATAGTAAATATATGTTTTCTCGTGTTCTGCATTAAGCACCAACATTATAGTGAATAAATATACCATATTTCTTCATTATTTAAGTAATGCTAGGAGGCTTTGAGTAGCTTTGGGTCATTAGGTGAACAGAATCTCCAATAGATGGGGCGAGAGTCGCGCTATCTCTCGCCCGAGCGAGAGTCGAAACTTATTTTAGAATTGATATATCTTTGTCCTCCAACAAGATATATTTCCTTTGGTGCACTCACAATAACGAGCATATCTCTGTCTTTCTGAAGGCATATAATATTTTAGGCTTTATAAGCGTATCTTTGTTAATTACACACTATATTGGCAAGTGCGTAGGCTTCTGCATTCCATGACCGACAAGCTACTGAATACCACTATAAAAACGTATGTATCTTCACTTGAGCTTTATATATGTCTATGTTAAAGTATTTAAAATGAAGCTTATATTTCTATCTTTCTTGAGACATATAAAACATATGTGTTTATTAACGAATTTACGTGAAATAAGCATTGTTCTGAGAGAGAGTTGCTCTGTCGATCAGTCTGTGCGGGGTCGGAGCTCGGCGATTATAAAAACACATGTATCTTCATTAGAACTTTATGTATATCTATGGTAAAGTATTTAAAATGAAGCTTATATTTCTATCTTTCTCAACACATATAAAAACATTTGCGTTTATTAACCAATTTACGTGAAATAAGCATTGTTCTGAGAGAGAGTTACTCCGTTGCTCGATCTGTGCGGGATCGGAGCTCGTCGATTAGAAAAATACACGTATCTTCGCTTTAAATACAAATATGCCCATGGTAAGGCATTTAAAATGAAGATTATGTTTCTATCTTTCTTGAGACGTATAAAAATCTTACGTTTATTAACGATTCTGCGTGAAATAAGCATTGTTCTGAGATGAATATTGCGGATTTCCAGCTCTACGACCGATGAAAAATGCAACTTTTATACAACTACAAATATCTTTAGTTTTACTTTAAATTTTGTCCTGAAAGAGTTTTCATATATAGATCTAGTTTCTGCCGTTCTTCTGACATAAAAAGACCTTTGGTTTAATAAGTTATTAAGATGTTTTCAACAATATTACTAGGGCGTTCACCGATTCCAACATGGGCGACCCTTTTGGAAACGCATGGAAACGCAACACTTGGGTTGACCCGATTGATTGATTGATGAAGATTAAGCCACCCAAGAGGTGGCACGGGCATGAATAGCCCGTAAGTGGTGGCCCTTTCGAGCCATTACCAGTATCAAAAGATGATACTGGAGATCTGTGGAGGCGCAACTGCACCCTGCGTGACGGGAGATGTCTCCCGGACCAAGTGGTGACCAAATGGTGGTGGTTGACCCGATTGACAGACTGGTTATATTCCAACAGGGTCTGTACCTTATTCCAGTGTACATCAAAAACTAGCAATTACATGTAGTTCGTCTAACTTTTCCAATTTCACAGGATGGTTAGTCATACATGGAATCAGGGGAGAAAATACCAGCCTCAATACAACAATAGATAAATAAACTTTTAATAAACTTGTCTAAATAATTTTATGATTTTCATAAGCGCTAAGCACCGAATAGTGGAATTATTATATGATAATTATTTTACTAGTTTCTATGTTATTATCCAAGCAGATATTTGAATTGCTTGAAATTTTTTACGTATTGATTTTAAAACGAATTTTTTTATGAAGAATTTTGGGTAAAAACACTATATACATTATAGCCAGGAATTAATTAGTTATGAATCAAGACAAAATCGTAGGAATTAACGCGTTCTCCCGAGGTGTGCCAAATTTATAGAAAACTTTTGAACTACCAACTCCGTTGAAGATGAATAGAGCAGTTACCAAATTAACCTCCCCCCCCCTTTTTTTTTGGGGGGGGCACAGGTAAATACAGCAACAGACTACTTGGTATGCCTTTCCTCCGTCCTATTGTACATGCTTATACCCCTTCCAAAGTGCTATACTATATTGTAATTGCTTAGTGATTCTCCTGACAATTACCTTACCTTCAGACTCTTGCTAGCAAGCGGAGATCATTCTTTTTCCCACAGAAGCAAGTAATTATCAAAAGAAGGCACAAAGCCGGGAAGGCTATGTAGCACCATCAAATGTGTGGAATAATCAGAGGGCGCTACTCCTTGACACTGCCATCACTCGTCTCCGGATTGGGCACACTTGCCTGGCCGCACATCTCCATTGTCTACGGCTGGTAGATTCCCCATATTGCCAGTGGTGTCCGACCCAGGAGGATACAGTGGAGCACCTTCTACTTCACTGCCCTCGATTTCATAGCGCTCGCGTCAGACTCAGAGTTCTGTTCGTAGGCTGAATATTCCCCGCCTCACAGTTCCCGTTCTCCTTGACGGGGCAGGTGCGAGAGACGAAGACGTCCGTCATGACATCCTTCGCCATACCTTCCGCTTCATCCGTCATGTCCGCGGCCTGAAGAGACTGTCAAATTTGTCGCCTGAGGAGATTGTAGGGTCTATGGCCTGAAGAGACTATAGGGACCCCATCCCTCCGCTATTTCCCGGTACCGGGCAGCCGGGGCGCATCCGATCCCACGATCGTCGTCGCCCCTAAATCAACACAACAACAACAACAGAGGGCGCTAAATATCACTAAGGATGCTAATATGAGAACAAACACATAAGAACGATATCAAAAGCCTCAGCAAACTAGGTTTTCCCGGAACAACCGCCGTTCCGGGGAATTTTATTTTGCGGGTGAACTTTTTCAATAGTATCTATATTAGACAACGTTCTTTCCAATCAAACACGATTCAATACACGTGTATACAAGTGTTTCTAGTGTCCTGGATAGACACAATCAAGTCCAGTCAATCTCCTTCACCCACGTCGCAAACTAACTTTACCGGGAAATTCTAGTTTTCATCCAGAATTCCCATGCGTACCTGTAATCAGACATTCTTACAATACCCACTTTGTCACTACCTTTCCGTCAATGCTGTAAAAGGTTGCCGGCAGCGACTGCACTGTACCAGGGCTAGGTCCTTTTTGCAGTCTGTCCTGTTTTTATCAGTTCACAAAGTTGTTAATCCTTCTCTGCACACTGCCCTTCTAGTACCCAGAATTCGCTGTAAAACCAGCACGTGATGTATTTTATAGTACAGCAATTTGTTTTTAATTTTTTAACGAGGTTGGTAATTGTCATTGTGTATGTATTTTTTATTAAAGCTTACAGAAAGATTTCAAGATGGATATGTTGACAGCCCCACAGAGATCTTGCCTTGGATAATTGAGAGCTGCAGTATCGTGTAGAACATCCACTATGGAGGAATATAACTGCTATACAAGCCAATATCACAAACAAAGATCCTCTGCAAGAGGAGGGGTAGAGTAGGTGAAAGATGAAAACTAGCGGCATTGGCACTGTTCCTAATGACTCCCACCTTGTTTAGGTCAGGACCTGGTCGAACATTACTCAGTAAGTCTTGTGCACAACTCTGGTAACGTTATTACGGAGCATACTTTTGTTCGCCAAGTTACCACTTATTGCAGTAGCGTTACAAACATTGAAGAAAATCCCACTAACAAAGGATAATGGAAAATCACTTTTTACCTGGCAGGCAAATTATATTTATTTATGTTTAATAAAAATCAGGGTCTTGTAATTTTCAGGTATCAGTAATGCCTATGACTACATCAGTCAAATATCTACACATTTTGTGAAGGCTAGAGGAAAATGGATATACATATCTGTCTAGTAATCCTTGACAACAGAAATAAAAAGTTAAGTGTATATTCACCAGTCTCTTTGCAAGGATGTTCACCTAATTATAAAACAAATTACCAATTTACTGTACCTGCTCCTTTAATTAAAAGGACTATATAATATTTACTCAACACTTCTGCATCCGAGTACATTATCCATTATATATAGATTCTCGTTAAAGTCAAGAAAAAGTCCAGTACTTCATAATCCACTAACAATTGTGTCAACCAATTTCCAAGATGCTGAATTATAAAAATGAATCAACGTCAATATTTGCAAATTGTTAATACAAGTACTATAAAGAGACATATCTTCCAAAAACTTCATTAAGGATCTAGGTTGCCAACATACAACCAATAATTATAAATTCAGTCCAAGATTTGTTAATACCCATCTGCATATTGGGTATCAAGTAAAAGCAAACCAGGCTATTACACTGGACAAGCTAGTAAATTATCATTTTTGTTTAATTATTACACTTTAAATGAACATAGAAAAATGGTACACTGAATCAATGATATATGTGTATGTAGAGGTGGAAGAGAGGGTGCAGGGAGGGAAAAGGACAATGCAAGAGGATTGACAAGTGGCAGTGGAGAGGAGAGGCAAAAAGGGAAAGGAAATACAGCAAGTCAGTCAGCACGACGAGAGAAGGGAAGGATGGGGCAGGGTGAGGGGCAGGAAGAAAATTAGTTGTAATGAGTTTATTATGTATTTTAAAACTTAGTACAGTATACCTCTTGCATTGTCTATGTATACCAATCTTACATCTTAAAAAAAAAAATAAAAAAAAATAAAGTAACTAATTCCTAAGGGAGCGTCCTCGCCCTCTCCCTCTCGCTGCCCTTCGAGCACGTGGAGTTCCCACATCACTCTTTGGTTCGTCCTTCTCCTCTTTAGGTCTCTCTTCTTCAGTATTAGGAGCTTCAACTTTTTCTGCACTCTCTTCTGGTTCTTCAATAACACTAGGAGAAAAATTTATAAATTTGTTAAGCTCTGAAATCTAATACATACATACATAAGACTGACACTAATAAAAAAAATGAAAGTTAAAAAAATCAAGCTATGGTAATTCCAAAAGTAATAGTTCTGTAACTAAACTGAAAAGCAAGTGCATCATCTCTTATCAAAATGGAATCTTATTAATTTACTGCAATACCTTGAAATTTACTCTGGAATGCAACCTATAGGCTGCCCTTCCTGGTTATCAATTCATACAGGAAGAAAAAACACTACTAAATGTTGTATTACAAATCCAAAAGCAGAGCCCTAAAATCAAGCAATAATTATTCAGTGCTACACCACTTGATTACAGCCATCTTATTCTTTGCCTCTTCATACCAAAAGAATTGTTTCAAGAAATATATATGAAGCTTTGCATAAGGGACAAAATTCTTTATTGACAAAAGACATCCACATGGATCCTTTATGAAATTTATGGGACTCTTCAAACTACGACGGAAAACTCCAAATTTCCATAATGTTAATCTATATCCCAACAAGCTTGCCTACTACAGTACCTATGAAATAAAGGACTGACTGGAGGAACAATAATTTTCAAAGCATTTTCAGTCAAATGAGCTGGTCAGGCTATTAATCCTACTTAGCCCTACATAGACAAATTATGCAGGGTTAAGGGATAGAGTTAGAGGATTGATGGGAGGGAAAGGAAAACTTACCATTCCTCTTCCACCTTTTGTTCAGGCCCCTCTTCAGCATCAGCAAAATTGTCATCATTGTCTTCCTGCTCTGCATTCTCTACATCACCCTCTTCATCAAATGCCTCACCCACTTCTTCAAGCATTGCTGATTCCTCATCCTACAAAAAGACAGTAATAATCAAGTGGATTATATACATATGTAAACATATTATATATACATATTATTTAATTATACACATACTATATATAAATTACAATACATACTTTTCATAATATAAATTGTAGTTGTAAAAATTCATTATTCAAAATAACGAAAAAGCACCACGAATGTAGAAATCTTAAGTATACAATACTGTAAATACTGTACAATATTTGCATATTAGGAACAGATGTCCAAATCTGATGGCAGCAAGTTTAAGATGAGTACAGATGATTACATCTACCACTGAAGGAAAAGAAATTTAAACTTCATTTATTAGCACAACTGCTTCTAAAGGCAATTACTAACCAGTTCAGCAGCCTCCTCATTGTCTGCTACATCATCTGATTTGCTAACTTTCTGGGGGCTTTCCTTATCCTTTTCTGGCTCAGTAGTATCATCTACCTCTACTTCTGCCTCTTCCCCTGCATCATCTTCACCTCCAGCATCTTCATCTTCTGCATCTTCATCTGCCATTTCATCTTCATCTCCTGCATCTTCGTCTTCATCAGCATCTCCTGCATCTGCATCTTCACCCTCATCATCTGTACTCTGTTTCACAGCAGCATCTTTCTCAGCCTCATCCTCAGACTGTTTCTCCCCCTCTGGTTGATTTTCACTTTTCTCTTTTTCTTGCTCTTTCCTTTTTTCTTCTAGTTTCTTTTTCTTTTCCAGATCTTTTTGTTCCTGAAACAAACATTAAAACTTCAAACACACAGTATTTTGCATATTAAAGCAATTCCTAGAAATAATGTTGAACTGAACTGATGCATTTTGTTATAAATCTTGTATACAAAATCTGTGCTGCTCCGGTCCTACTCCGGAGGACCTAGTAGGCTCCACTACTCTGTGGAGCCGATCGGCCGAGCGGACAGCACACTGGGCTTGTGATCCTGTGGTCCCGGGTTCGATCCCGGGCGCCGGCGAGAAACAATGGGCAGAGTTTCTTTCACCCTATGCCCCTGTTACCTAGCAGTAAAATAGGTACCCGAGTGTTAGTCAGCTGTCACAGGCTGCTTCCTGGGGGTGGAGGCCTGGTCGAGGACCGGGCCGCGGGGACACTAAAGCCCCGAAATCATCTCAAGATAACCTCAAGAAGATAACCTCCAGGATTAAGAATATCAATATACAAGTAGTTGAACACCGTTACTCTCATTAACTTCAGACCAACATCTATGAGCCTTTCTAGTACTTCACATTTCACCACTACACTGAACCACTGCTTCAGCAAACCACATGAGGTAAGCTTCCTTCATTCTACCTGGGAATTCGTTCCATTTGAATCTCCCCCTCCAAGGTCATATAAAAAAAAAAAAGCCCAAACAGCCTACTGGCAATTGGCAAGAACACTTCTTGACAATCAATTGATGCCAAGCAGTGTTTGGAAAAGGCTTTATATCAATGAGCCTTCCTGAGGTCAATCAAGAATGGATAAGTAATCAATTGTTTCCATAGCACCAAAATGGCCCAGCGTGGACATTCGAGAAGATCATCCCCATAAACACGAGTAATTTCTACGTGCCATGTACAGTCCACCTGGACCTTCAAGTGGTACAGCTAAAAAATAATATGAGACAATGCATGTCTATTTGGGATACCAAACTAACCACAAATTTGTATTTAGAAGACAGATACTCAGAAATTTACAAATTAACTAACCTGCATCTGTGTGACATGTGCAAACAGATTTTGGTAATGGACAATAGAGCGGAAATGGACTTGCACTTGTTGTTCATCCACCATTCGAAACCTTGGACCTGGGCATACCTTGCAACGGTAATGTGATTTTGTTCCAACCAGGTGCATTCCTGCAAATTAAAATACAATTAATGAACAAATAAATAATTTATGCAGCATATTAACGGAGAGAATTAATAGATTAACACTTTCGTGTGCCTGGCATGCGGACTGCAAATTTAGAGGTCATGCCCCCGGCGTGCAGGCGAGCGCACGGCGACACCTAAAATGTGTATACTCGTTTCAGTTTTCTCACCTTAATTCTTGTACTACATCGTTCGTTTTGGTATTTTGTTTGCAAAAGAATTTCCTACAGTTGTATATGCATATAATGTCCAAACGCCCAGCGTGACTAAACTAATGGCATATGCTCCTGATGAGACTCCACAATCTTACTGGCCAGGTGTGGAGGCAGAGGGTCGAGATTCAGATTTGATGTCCAAAGGGCTTGGAAAGGATTGGGAAGGGGGGGGGGGGAGACGAGGTGGTGAAATTCTGGAAAAGAATTTGAGGGTGGATAGTGGCAGCTTGAAAGTTGACTTTGCCCATCCACCAATGCTCCCTGGATGAGGCTCAGTTGTTCTACTCCTCAACCCCGGCCCGACTTGTGAGAACTTGGTCCAACAGGCTGTTGCTTGGAGAGGCCCAAAGGCACACAGATCCACAACAGCCTGGCTGATCCTGAAGAAAACTATCCAGTTTTCTCTTTACATTCACGTTTGTTCCAGCAATTTTTTTTATGCTCTCTGGGATGATGTTGAACTGAATGTCTGATGTTTATACAATGTTTTACATTGTGCCTATGGCACTTCTGCTCATCACTGGTTCTATTCTGCATTTCCTTCCATATCGTTTTTAACTCCAGTATGTTGTGGTTTACAGTAGATTTGGGACCTAGCCCTCCAGTATTTTCCATGTGCATATTATTTGATACCTTTCTTGTCTCCTTTCTAGGGAGTACATTTGGAGAGCTCCAAGACTATCCCAATAGTTTAGGTGCTTTAATTGTATGCTGTGTGTTTGCATTCACTATTTCAGCAATCTCTCCTGCTCTGAAGGGAAAAGCGATTATCGAGCAGTACTCAAGACACGACAGCTCATGTGATTTGAACAGTACAACCATTGTGATTACAACCATTGTGATGGGATTCCTGGATTTGAAGGCTCTTGTAATCAATCCTATCATTTTTCTGGCCGATGTTACATACGCTTGGTAATGCACCTTAAATGTTAGGTCATTAGGCATCATTCCCAGATCCTTTGCAGGCTAGTTTTCTATTATGGACAGATTTGATTGTTGTGTACCCTGTCCTTTGTTTAAGGTCCTCATTTTTACCATACCTGAGTACGTGGAATTTATCACTTTAATGTTATTTTATGCGGCCAAGTCAAAAACTATTAATATCTGCTTGAAGTTTTTCAATGTCTTCAACAGAAGTAATTTTCATGTTGATTTTTGTGTAATTTGCAAAGGATGATACAGAGCAGTGACTTATTTTGTTTACATCTGATACGAGGATAAGGAAAAGCAGTGGTACAAGGACTGTACCCTGAGGTACAATGCCTTTAACGGCACTTGGACCCTTATTTTATTTGGTCGACTTATCTTAGACAGAAAATTGAATACCCACCGACTTACTTTACCTGTTATTCCCATTAACTTGTACTTCATCCATGTGAAGCATGGCACAAATACAAATAATCATCAGCAAAAGCTAAATGCCTAACCAACACATAAATATTGTTATATTATGCTAGTATAATTTATATTTGAGAACATTCCTATTTTGATTGAACAGCATGTTAAAATTGATGAATGCGTCTTTGGGGTCAACCGCTGAATGGAATGGAATGGACAATTTTATACTTAAACTTCTAACAACCATTTATGAGCTGGTATGAGCTAGGTATGAGTATGAAATGGTATGAAATGCTCATACCAAAGTGGTATGAGCTAGAAGAAAGATTACTGGATCTGAACCTCAACACTGTCAGAAGAGTTAGAAGAGACATGACCCCTACCTATAAAATTCTCAAGAGGAATTGACAGGGTAGGTAAAGAAACTTTAGCACAGATCGTACACAATCAAGGGGACACAGGTGGAAACTTAGTACCCAAATGACTCATCGGGATGCTAGCAAGAACTTTTTCAGTGTCCGTAATTAACAAGTAGAATGCATTAGGCAGATGTGATAGAGGCAGACTCCATACACAGTTTCAAATGTAGACATGATACAGCCCAATAGGTTCAAGAATCTGTACAGCAGTTGATCAACAGTTGAGGCAGGACCAAAGAGCTGAAGCTCAATCCCCGCAAGCCAACTAGGCGAGTACATCAGAGTTATTTAGTGTACCATAAATCCAATTCATAAACAAGCACAAACAGTAGCTCTGCTTACCTACAGGAACTGCAGGGTCATAAGGAGGAAGCGTTTCTGAAGTGTACGATTCTTCTGAATTGTTTTCCTTGAACTCGTCCACAGCATCTTGAAACTTCTTTAATATCTCTTCTTCAGAAATATCCTTTTCCTGCTCTAATTTTTTCTCCTCCCTTGCTTTAATTTCCTGTTCCATTTCCATCTGCCATTTAAAGTGAAGAAGAGAGAGGCGATGTTCCTCTAGAGCTCCTCTGATGGTGTATGCATGACCACAACACTTTACCTTCAAGTACTGAGATATCAAACTGTGTTCAATAGTCTTGTTATGTTCCTGGAGTGTGCCAGCAATTTTACACTGACACTTGCCACACTGCATCAGGTTTCCTCTAGCTCCACTCTTCCAAGCAGACAAGATTTGACGTTGACAAGCCAGCTATTTGTGAGAAACAAAATTATACATTTGAAATTACTTTGAGATCTGCAAAATCCAGAATATCTTTTTGGTACAGTAATATTTACAATACAAATTATAAGAATGATTTCACATTACATGCAGTACAATGAAACAATTTAGTACAAATCTAGTTTTCACCAACGCTGATATTTGGGAATTATCTTGCAGCAATGACCGCATAATTAATGGAAACAAGAAAATTATAAAAAAATGATTTGAAATAATTTGCATTGTTTCAAATATTCTAGCCAATTAAATATATTATTATTTCAAACAATTTTATGGCATTATAAGGAAGACCAGACTAAGTTTTATAATGAACAAATCCACAAGGGCTGTGACGAGGATTCGAACCTGCGTCCGAGAGCATCCTAGACGCTGCCTTAATCCATTGAGCTACAACATGGTCAAAGAATTGCAACCAGAAATTCTACTGAATTTACTTGGATCCTGCAGCCTCTCTTAAACAAATCCTTGTGGATTTGTTCATTTGATACATCACGCTATTATAAGATCTATAATATTATAGAAGGGTATATAACCTCCTATAATATTATAGGTTATATATTATAGAACATTATATTTAATATTCCAAGGGTGGAATTGTGAAGCCAGTGAAGACTGGTAATTTTAAGGGTAGATTTACGAAGTGGTGAACGTGGAATAATTCAGTTTAGATTAATGTCAACATTTAAGATGCAAGGTGTTGGTGCAGCCAGAATGTGAGTGCATTCTGATTCCACATCTTTTTAGCAGTAAGTTAAACAAAAAGTATTGAACACGTATTAATTTAGTGTAAATGATAAGAGTTAAGTGGCAAAGGTGAATGAAGCAGGGTCTAAAGCTTACACAACTCGCATCAGTGAGGGTGGGGCTGCTCACTTTTACCCCTACACAGTGTAGCTTTAACAAAGCGCATGGTACTTTATACCAGTATCAGTAAATCACCTCTGTTCATAGATATAACAGAGTGGTGGCAGCCTTTAATATTAGTCGATGAAATATGTAGCCTAGCAATTTACAGTTCATTTTAACTTTTATAGTTAGTTTACTTAAATCTTTATTCATATAATATTTAATTTCAGTTGATATGAATTAAGTGTTAATTCATTATTTCACACAATTTAAATAAAATATACTGATCATTATCAGTATCAGTATAACCCTGGTTTAATGTTAGGTAATCAGAGTAAGTTGTTCTGAAAGCTATAAAATTCCCAATAATTCCCCCAGGGCCCAAGTTTCACAGTAAAGCATTATATTTATTAAGCTTTATCAATGTGGGACTTCCTCAAGCCTAACAAGCCTAGAAAGGGGAGCCAGTTGTCCCTGGGAAACTTTGGGAGAACTAAGGACAAAGTTTCCCAGAAACGACAAGGTAGTGTCAGGGTTGTCCCCCTCAACCCTGACACCAGCCTCTTTCTAGTCTTGTGTCAGGGTTCTGCAAGTACCACATTGATAAAACATATGTAAAATGTTACATTATTTACAGTCTCCCCCCCCCCATGTTTATAGAAAGTTAACCCCCCCCACTTATTTTTAATATACGCCCTCCCACCTCCACTAATGGAGTGCATGTTAATATGGTTGTAAAATTTACCATCGGGGAGGAACATGACAAAATAACTTTAAAACTTACCTTTGCCTCAGCCCTCAGGATTTCAAGAATAGCAGCACCTTGCCCATGGTATGCATGGGCAGTAGTCTTGTGGGCCTTTGACTCTAAATGTTTTTGGTAACACTGCAAAGTAAACAATTAAAACCAATTACAATATTTTATTGTAATTAAATAAAACTAATTACGGCTTAAGGGAAATCCCATGTGGTGAGAATTTAAAAGGGATTTAGCCACACAACCCAGAGCATCCAGGGATGAGAACACAGGCAAGATGGTTCTGGATTTATCACTGCTCCATTCTTTATAGAATTGAAATAATGAAGCCAGAACATGGCAATATTAATTCAGTGAAAACTATAATGAATCCCTATGGAGCTATACGTAACTAGTTTCCCAAATGCAAAATGAATTTTTTCCTCAAATGTAATTCATAATTTCAATATTTTAACCAGTTATCTGCTACAGCATTTGTTATATGGCAAACGCTTAGATGCCCCCAAAAAAAAACTAAGTATGGTTAAGAAAGGTTCTACATACTCTCTAGTATCAATTGTTTTTTCTACCCAATAATGCATGCCTTTTAGTTCAACATGGAAAAAACATTTAAAGCTATTAATGTCTGACACTCACCAGCAGTGGTTACAATATCTTTATGCAACAAAAGCCTCAACAGGCACACACACATGTCCAATAAACAAAAGAACAAGTAACTCATGAATTAAAAATTCTGACCAATTAGCAGGTTATCTGTACTGTATTTATAAAGTAAAAAGGGGAAAGTTGTAATTATTGCAATAACAGCAAAATTATAAACCCATGATATTTTCAATTCACTTACATTAATAGAGTAAAAGTTGTCCACATCACACATATGGCACTTCAGGATTTCTTTAGGAACAAATGCTTCCTGTTGAGAAACACAAAATTAAAACATTGTTTACTCACATATGAGCAATTTTAATTATCCTGCAAACACCCATACTTTTGAATACAAACAGGATGGTATAATTGAGTATAGGAGATGCAATAGCACCCGTGTAATACTTAATGTGTTCCTGCTTTTATGAAATTGTACTCCGATTATAATTTATAATAATTATAATCAGTACAATTTCATAAAAGCAGGAACACATTAATTATTACATTGCTATGATGCACATGTTCACTTTTATATTCTGAAGTACTGTACAGTACTACCTAATATCACTATCGATCATATAAATCCAGTTTCTACCTTTAACCTCACTTTGAACAGTCCACCAAATTTGTCTGGGTAAACTGCACACTGACCTGTCTCGATGATCACCGACAGTTCAGTATTTGAAGGGTGCGTGTATTTCAGGCTAACACTGGTATAAGTGTACAATTATATCCAAATCTTTTAAAACAAAATGACTAAAATAATATATGGCTGTTACAAATGTATTTATTATAATCATAAATTTAAGAAATGCATACTTTTGCATGCCATTCAACTATTAATGTATATCACAGCAAAAGGGCTAAAGGAATTTCACTGCTAAATATATGTAATAAGTATGTTTATAAAATAATAATGACAACAATTCAAATAATAATTCTTAATTTTGTTTTTATAAAATTTATGGATTGAACAGTGTAGGAGGGTGCATGGGAAGGTGGGTAGAAATTTATGTACAGTATAGTCCAGTACTTGGCCAGCTGAGCAGTATTAAAAATAGCACTATCAGTCAAGATTAAGAACTTAAGGCCCATTACCAGATATTTACCAAAGGCTACAATGTACAATGAGTGTACAATGTACATAAGAGCTTGATTTATTACACTTCTATTACAACAAAGTATCAAGATATTCAAGATTGCAGTGCCATGGAAATAATTTAAAATGCAATAACAAGGTATCAATAAAAATGCAAATACTGTACATTACCTTTTTTGTTTTCAAATCTTTATCTTCCTCATTCTCAGTAGTATCCATTTCCTCAGCATTTTCTTTGTCGTCTGCTGCTTCATCAGACTGTTCTACCTCAGTCTTACCATCTGCAGTTCCACTGTAAATAGTGTTTTGAATGCATCATACTGTTTTCATTTTTCCATATCAAAGGGAGTTCATTAACAGTAGTGAAATCCTTTTAATTGAAGAGTAAAAAAAAAAAACATTAATGTGATGTAGGCATAAAACAGTTGTGTATATGTAAAAGTTAATAAGGTGGAGGTAAAAACACCTGGAACAGAAATGGGAGCAGACATTATAATTAACATGTGTACTATATGATACCAAGCAAGAAGAAACTGAAGGTCAGCAGGTCAAAAATATGATTAGTGTTTGAGATGGGAATTTGATATCATGGAGTTTGCATTGAATAGGCTCTGGGTTTGGTATTCAATGCAGTCCACATTTGAGTAGTAACCAACATTCTAGCAGAAGGCTCTTGTCAAATGTGTGTGAATTTGACATATTAACAGAAAAGTACTCTTTGCTTGGGATTTGGGAAACTTTCAAATGGGCCAGTGAGTGGCCTCATACTGATCCCTTTCCCAATTGAAGAGCACTTGTACAAAGTGGATATTTCTTGCTTGGACCAGAATTTACAAAACTTTACTTCTTTCCTCTGGTGCAGCCGTTTCTCTGTTGGTCTAATACGAGCCCTTAGGTAGCCTCGTCAAACGGCTGGTAGATCTGTTGTTGGTTCAACTATGGTTCCCAGCCCTTGTGCATTGTTCACATCCTCTTATATTCCTGGGACTCCCTTTATAGCAGACAGTGACTTGCTCATCCATGTATCACTAATAGAGGACAAGATGGCAACTTTCACTGCCCAATTTGCCTCCTCCCTGGCACCAGTATGATGTCAATTGGCAGACTTTCTTGCCTTCCATTATTTAGACAATTGTCCTTTGTTTCAGTGCCAGTAAAGTGTCTGTTATACTGTAGCATTTTGTTCAGCAAGACATGTTTTCTTTTATGTGGAAATACTGGAATTATTTGCAAGATACTTTTCTTGACCTATTGTACTTTTCTCAATGTACAGTCTGATTTATATCCTTGCACATATGAATACTACCTGTGATACTTTCTTTCCTGTTTCCAGTCTTTATACCCAAGGTCAGCATTTTGCTTGTTTAATCTATTATTGCATTCTTTTAAACTCAAAATGGTTCCCTCATGGTACTGTTGAGAGTATGCACGGGGCAGCTACAAACAGCCAGTCCAAAAATTAAGCATTAAATGCCTAGGAAGACGATTTCTTTGATGGGCAGTCTCAAGGCTCCCTGCACCTGCCAGTCATAAACGTATTTGGGAGCGGTACAACCCGTCCTCTTAAAAATAACGTTGCTGTTCACTCGTATGCTTGCTATGGCCAAATTAGGACATAATTTGAAATGAAATCGACTCGAGTGATGTACTGTCCCATTTTCTGTTTGAGTCGTCCGGCTTACTCGGTAAGGTTAGAAGAGGAAACTTTCAATTAACGTTTTTCATGACGTTTTGAAACCTTATGAGAATTTCCTGCCCACCTAACCTACCATAGAACCCTTAACTTACTGTTGTTGAAAAAAATATCCCAAATTTATTTTCATGTCTTTTTTTCATTTTTAAATTACATCCACTTTCGGCCATACTGTACTGCTAAACGCCCAAAAGCGACATTTTTAAGAGGACAGGTTGAGTGGTATACGAAGGGGACAGATGGGAATGTTCAACTCTTGGATAACCTGAGCTGCTATCTTGTGATGCACTGACACCAAATCCACTAACCATCCCCAGTCCTTAGCAAGTAAAGTAAATTATATTTATATTCCTCAATCTGTTCATTTTAACACCACATGCTTCAGACTTTCAATCTCAATCATTTTAAATTTACAATTTCATACCACACCAACTTGCATGTGTACACATGGGTAGGAATTACATCTTTATCCAAGCCACTAGTTGCATCTATATATTTAACTTTTTTAACTAGAGCTTTTAATATACAACTTTTCTTCCTAGATTCACTACTCTTTGGACTGCAAAATTCTTACATCTGGATACTTGACATTCCAATTACTAGTACATGTGTTTGAATTGATCAACTATCACAAGTACTCCACCGTTGACATCTCGCAAAAATTGCTGCTCTCAGTGAGCACAACTTGTTACAAGGACCATCTACTAAGGTAAATTTCTACTTGGGAAGTGTGTACCATATACAGTATGTGCGAATGTGTAATATGTAAATATTTACTGTGCTCCCTAACATGATAAAATCTCATTCCTCTAGTACCTAAAATTTTTAGTTATCCTAACAAGAAATTGGAAACTACACCTTCGTTTTAAGGATAACGCGAATATATCTTACACTAAAACTGGAAGGCAAAACTTGGCTCAGTTTCAATGACACTGACAATACAAATTATGTTTCATTGTGTATTCAAACCATTTATCCATTACACAATATTCGCTTGAAAATTAATAAAAAAAAGTGATATCCCAATTTGCCAAACACAACAAAGCCATTTCTTTTAAAACCAACTGTAACTAGTATTATTAATTACACAATGAAATCGCAAAAATGCATCTGAGGTGACCCAGGATACTGGTTCGATCCCACTGTCCTGCTTCAAAGATTCTGGCAATTAGTTTGGGTATCCAGCATGGCCACAGCTACACTACCATCATTCCTGTATTTACCTTCACTACCATCATTCCTGTATCTACCTTCACTACCATCATTCCTGTATCTACCTTCACTACCATCATTCCTGTATCTACCTTCACTACCATCATTCCTGTATTTACCTTCACTACCATCATTCCTGTATTTACCTTCACTACCATCATTCCTGTATCTACCTTCACTACCATCATTCCTGTATCTACCTTCACTACCATCATTCCTGTATCTACCTTCACTACCATCATTCCTGTATCTACCTTCACTACCATCATTCCTGTATCTACCTTCACTACCATCATTCCTGTATCTACCTTCACTACCATCATTCCTGTATCTACCTTCACTACCATCATTCTTGTATCTACCTTCACTACCATCATTCCTGTATCTACCTTCACTACCTAGGTGCTGCTGGATACACCATACCGTGGCTGAGCTGAACCTACACCTAATCATGTATTAAAAAAAAAAAAAAATGCTCCATGAATCTTATGATGGTCTTGTATTCAGCAATGTTGGAATTTGGCATCATGAAGGGTATAGGGGTAGCTGACTCTAACCACCCTATTTTCACCCACTTTACACCCTGAAAAGATTGACGAGGCCAGAACAGTCTGGCATCCAACCTCGAATAGACAAACTAAGTCTCATAGATTATGAACCTTAGAGGTAGTCAGAACAAAGAAAATTACATAGCCTGGATATGTTGTGCAGCAGTTTTAGAAATTACCGTCTGGTTGTAATAACACCCAATTGTCAAAACTAGTCAAGTAATGATTTGACGTGCAAATTTCAGAAGTACTTTGGCCATGAGCCTTACATTTTTCTGGGGACAGCTGCAGCCAAATGAAGAGGAAAAAAAATCGTACCCCAAAAAACTGACAATTCTCTAACCAGAACCAGTTGTTTTTTTTATCAAACATTGCATAGAAGAATTTTGAATAGCCACCACACCTAGAAGAAACTATCACCCTACCTTCAATTATGCCACCAATTGACCAGAGCAATAATGTCCACTATACATTTATCAACAGTTTATGAAAAAACTTTTAGACATTAAAAAAACTGACGACATTTGTCATACCTATTGCAGCAAAATCCAACAAATTGTCTAGAACAAATGTTTAGGTTGTATTTTAATAAACTGTGTACAGTTGATCCTGAGAATGTGCAGATGCAGTACATCACCTGCTAGTGATGTGCTTCACTGCCTCTCAAAATTGTAGATACTATTGTTGGGTAGCAAGCACCTCCACAAAACACAACCAATTGCCAAGGCCAGTCAAGAACTGATCTGGGATGCAAATTTCAGCAGCATATTGGGTATGAACCTTACCTCTTTTTTGTACCAGCTGAGGAACCATCACCCTCGGCTTTGTCTCCCTTCTGGTCGCTGGCTGTTCCAGTTGTTTCGTCTTCCTCACTCTTCACCTTCTTCTGGTCCTTGGCAGGACCTTTAACATCCTTCAAATCAGACCTAGGTTTACCCCTCTTAGCCTTAGCTGTTTTTCTAAGCTGGTTGTCAGGCATGTGACGTCCAGCCGAGCCATAAGAATTGCCACCCCTGCCTCGCTGGGAAGATTCGTTGTCCCAGGATCGTCGAGGGTTGTACTGCTGATCCCGCTGAGGAAACTTGCGTACAGGTGACGGACGCACTGGGGAGGACTGAGTCTGCCCTCGGCGATTACCATGACCCCCATCCTGTGGGAGATACTCTCCACTCAGTCACCATACAATATTTGGAAACTGATCAGCCTCACCAATGGGAGGATTCCCAAGGTAACTAGAGGCAACTTTATTAGTCCACCAATCAACAATGGCCAATCTTTGGGCATGACAAAATTTGATTTATGGCAATTACATGAGCAGAGGGGCTCACTAAATACCAAGAGATGGATCATCCTTCAACCATACAAATAAACAAATGATTAATCATTTAATCATGCTACTTAATTTTTGTACGAGGATGCCAAATATCAAGAATACTCAATCCCCAAATAAGTTTTCACAATCAAAACATTCTGGAAATCTTCACTTTTTGTGAAAGACTGGCACATACCAAAGTAAATATGAGGTGCACTACTAAACGACAATACCAGACATCACTTAAAGCACTGCATTACAACCAAAATTATGTAATACAAATTCACTTCCAAAAAGTATCAGTACTTAACACTGTCCTAGCCATGTTCTGCAGAGCAACTATTTATACAAATAAATAAATGCTGTCATTTTTAACACTACATTATTGAAAGGTGGTTTGCAGTCTATTTGATAAGCATCAAATACATGGAACAGAACAATGTTGTGCAGCCAGATAGAGCCAATTTCAGTCTACAGCTGAATCACTTGGGCCAACTGTCAAATGATCTGTGAATCTAAATTTGGAAACATCAAGGGAAAAACCTCTAACCTTGATAATATTTAAAATTAACAAATTTGTGCAAAGGCCTCGGTTCATGTAACAAAACACCATAAGCATAATGTAGAAATCAATCTTAAGAGAATTTCAATCTTACTCCTGCTTTGGAGGTTTTAGCATCCACTGAAGTGCATAATCAGAAATTTTTCTGGTAAATCTTCACTTTACCAAATGAAATATTACTGGTAAGCCAAGCTAGAGGCACACACAACTGATGAAGCAACTCCAATAATGGGTCAAAGGACACCCTTCAAGCTATTACACACTAATTATAAAATTTACATTCTAAAGTCCTAATTTTAACATTTCGTCTAAATAAATTGTTCGCTCCATTGAAAAAGTTTAATCATGGAAGTAATGTAGAATTTTATCTATACAAATTGGTTAAAATTCTAAGCCATCTTACTTTTATTAACCCTTTCAGTTGCAATAGCCATTTTCCCAGCACATCCCCAACAGGGCCTAAAACCAGCCATTTTTTTTTTTTAGCAGTGGAACCTCGGTTGACGACTGCCCTAGAAGACAAATTTTTTTTACACTTCAAATTTATTGTAAAATCTAAATGGGTGCACGACGGTTTACTTGGAAGACGATGTCTGTTCATACGCGTATGGGTCGAACGAGTGCGTGGGGCTTGGCACTTTTGTTTACAAGCCTATCTCGCAAAGTGACGACCACGGCCCGCTTGAATTCTTTGTCGAGAATTTCATAGTTTGCCTGCTTGCTTTTTTTTTTTTTAACATGAAAGTTCTTCTTTATATATCACACCATGGGTTCCAAGAAAGTCAATAGTAATGTTCAACCTAAGAAAATAGTTGTGAGGATGACAGTAAGAGGAAAAACAAGAGATCATTCATTGTGAGAATGTTATGTCTCACTACAGACAAGTGTTAAAATGTAGGGGAAAAACAAGTGTCTATAGACATTTTTAGTAAGAGAAGCAAGCAGTGAGCCACAACCAGGTCCTAGTGGTATGCCTGCAAAATATAGGAAAGAGTACCCCAGAAATGACATCACTTCTGTTATAATGGAAGGGGACCCCCCAACACTAACACCTCTCCTCACCATCTACCATACACCAACAAGTCCTCATAAAAGGTAAGATATACATACTGTACTGTACTGTAGTCCAAAATGACGTATTCGGTATAAAATGTATTTTTAAGTTAATATTTTTGGCGGTGTGGAACGGATTAATTCAATTTACATTATTTCTTATGGGAAATTCATTTTGGTTGACATGTCTCTGGTAACAGATTACGATCGTAAATGAAGGTACCACTGTACTAAATATGAAACAAAAAGATAACTTGATAAAAATCATGTCCCTTTTCTAAGATATGGTCCAAGTAGCCCAAAACCAGTGTGCACATGCTTCCAAGACACACAGTCACTATAAATAACCAATACAATTTTATTGGGGTGGGGGAGGGGAATTTTCTTTTAGTGTGTATCTACTTGTGTAATTGAACAAAGAGTACCAAACAAAAAATGTACAATTAAAATGGTTTTTGAAGTAATTGTCCAAATTTTTTTTTTGGTAACTCTGGTGAAGTATGGTCCAAATTAACATTTTTTTACATAAAACAATTAAGCATACTTACCAAGAAATTTTATTCAAAGCACAAATTGCAACCTGATTTTATATTTACACATTACACAATAACAGTACACACACAGCTTCACACTATTATGTTGTATGAAGATATAGACTGATGACAACACACGGAATTAACCCTTAACCCTCAAACCGCGCATATCATATATAAATGATATCAGTGACAAAACCGAAACTGCGCACATCATTTATCTATGATTTCGTGTCTAGCGCTATAATTTAAACTCCCCGCCTGGGATAGGGGCAGCTATAGTACAGCCACGACCGATAGTTGCCAGATGCCACCTAGAAAAAAAATCCAGGCCAACATTCTTGGGTGTTACAGCGTCAGTATTGAGCAAGCCACCAAGGCTGGCGCACGCAGCACGAGCTCACAGCACCGCTGTTCAGCTTGTGACCACAGCATCTCCTACAAATACCATAATATATATGATACTGCTATTATTTAGCAGTGATAGTATTACTGAAGCCCCCTGACTGTGATAAAACTGACCAGGATTCTGATAATAGCAGGATTGTGGTGATATTTAGCGCTGTGCTCCATGGAGGGAGGCGTAAGGCTGTGCGAGGGAGGGTTGTGGCGTCGTCTTCTGACTGTGTGTGGCCACCATTTATTGACTGCACTCACCATACCAGCTTAGTGGTTCGATATGATGAACACAAATGTAGATACTTATATATAACGTGTGTATAGTGTGAGATAACAGTGAGAGGAGTAGGTTGGGAGCCGCCATTTTGGTGAGGGAGGAGCGTCGTCTGCACGACTTGGCATGGTGTTTACTGATGGCCACTATGGTCTTTGGGCACCATACCAGCTTATTTGTTCAGGTATGGTGAATAAAACAGGTAGATACTTATATATAATATGTGTATATAGCGTAATAACACCACAAACAATATTGTTGAAGGACAAATATTAGTGCGTCTGGCCTTGAGGGCGGCCGCCGATCAGCTGACTGTGGAGTAGCTACGTTTTTGTGGCCTTTACTCACCATACAAGCTTAGATGTACAGTTATGGTGAACAAAACATATAAATACGTATATATAACGTCTGTGTATAGTGAATAAATACAGAAAGAGTATTGTAGGAGGTGAATGAGGGTGAGTGAGGTGGTGTTGAGGGAGGGAGTGGCAGTGAGTGGCTCGCTGGTGTTTGGCGATCACTCCTCGTTGCTTTTTGACTCACAAGACCAACTTAGTAGTTCGTTATGGTGTACAAAACATGCAAATACTTATATATAACCTGTGTATATAGTGTAACAACAGCAAAACTATTTGTTTATTGTTTTATAAACATAATAATTGAATCACTAATATGCACACCATAATTTTGAGTACAGCGATAGTTCACACATTTTATAATATAAATATACCACAATTCACTGTATGGAATAATATTACTGCAAAAAAACTAAGAAAAAATCAGACATTGAAATAATTAGGTAATAATATATTTGTGGCAACTGCCGTTTGACAGCTCGGGCGGAGTAGACCTCATCTGGCGAAGGCTCTGCCAACGCCCCTTTTTTGCCACACTTCCCTACCCTATTGCGGCTAAAATATGCCACCTACAATTTTTTTGTTATTTTTTCCGTGATCAGGGAACAAAAATGAACACTTCTATAAGACGAAAGATTTTTTTGGAATTTTTTTTTTTTGTTGCGCCTGTGGGTGTGAATTCCATTTGGGCCCCTAGCGGTTTGAGGGTTAAACAGCGCACATTGTATATATACAATTTTGGGTACCACACAATTTAAATGTCCTGCAGCTACACGGAGTTCACATCAGCTTCCTTGGGGCTCTAGTAAACAGACGCCATTTTTTTTTTTAATCGTGGGTAACATTCCCAGGTGAGTGCGCCTCAGTACTGAGTGAGCAACCAAGGCTAGTACACACAGCATGAGCTAACGGCACTGCTGTTCAGCTTGTGACTACAGCATCGCCTAAAGTCTAAATATGTATGAACATGTACTTGCTATTATTTAGCAATGATAGTACAGTATTACAGTAGACACCTGACTGATTAAAATGACCAGGATACTGATAATAGCAGGACTGTGGTGATAATTAGCACTGTGCATAGTATGGTGGGAGAAGCAATCTTGGTGAGGGAAGGAGGTAACATCGTCTGCTGACTGTGTAGCAACCTGTTATTGTTACCACCATATTGTTATTGGACTCACCATACCAGCTTAGTGGTTTGCTATGGTGAACACAAATGTAGGTACTTGTATATAACATGTATATATAGTGTAATAAAACCAAAAGATGTTAGGAGGAGCCATTTTGGTGAAGGAGGAAGGGAGCGTCAGCTGACTGTGTGTCTAAACTCGCCATACTAGCATAGTAGTCCACATGGTGAACAAAACATGTAGATACTTATATATATATATATAACATCTGTATATAGTGAATAAAAGCAAAAACAGTATTGTGGAAGGAGAAATGTTGGTGAGGGAGGTGGCATCGTTTGTTGGCTGGTGTGGCGGTCACGCGTTGTTTTAACTCGCCATACCAACTTAGTGGTTCGTTATGGCGAACGAAACATGCAGATAATGTACTTGTATATAACCTGTGTACATAGTGTAATAACAGTAAAACTATTTGTTTATTGTTTTATGAACATACCTGAATCACTAATATGCACACTATATTTTTAA